TATATATATATATATATATATATATATATATATAAATTTTTTATAGATATTAATAGTATTAATACTATTGAACATTTGTCACTTTCAAATCCAAAACAAATTAGTTGCTACCTAATTAAAATAGGCTTTTTGCTACCTTGGTCCATACACTGTGAAGAAAAAAGAAAAAAAAATTCAGAAGGGCACTTTTTTATTCAGCAGAAAAAGGGCAGGTGCAATTGAACAGCACCACCTGGTGTCTATCTGTGCACATCACTGTATTCATTTAGCTACCTGTCTGTCTATCCAGCCATCATTTTATCTGTGTAAAATTCAGGGTGAATTTAGGTGTTTAAACTTTGAAAATAGACAGAAAAATACAAAAAAAAAAACAAAAAAAACTGGAAAAATTGCTCAAATCTGGAATTGTACAGATGTTTTGAAGTGTTTGCATTTTCACTTGCATTATTTCCATTTTATGCAGTACCTTGCGTGTTGCAACAGCTTCTTTTTCCCGGTTAAAACCTGTTGTGATTGATTTCTTTCTGCAGCGTATTAAATGTATCCCAAAGGATCTGACTTGGATATGAGACCAGACGGCCTCTAACGCTCCATGGTTCTGGTTGTGCTCAGGACTCCGCATGTTTCCATGAAGCATTTTGCAGAACAAAAACATGTCTAAGTTGTTTCCTTTATGGTATTAATGACACGTTTGTTGACTTTTGTTCTGTCTTATCTGATTCCCTCTGATGAACCTCAAAGAGCATCAGCGATACAACACTACGCCACATAGGCTCACATTCCCTGTAATCGTATTATGTTACAGAAACTGAGTCAAGTTCCGGGATGCTTCTTAATCTTACTGAAGACTCAACCTCCTGGGTACGTAAGGGATTAAATACATTAGAAACAAGTGAGCATGGTGCCATGGTGCCTCAAGAATTTACATTTATTTAATTGCAGCTTTGGCATAAAAAAAAGAGATATCTTATTTTCCTTTTTTCTGTCAGGTCTCAAATTCAAAGAAGCAAACTTAGATTTTGGTGAAGAAGGAATAGATTACTGAAGTGGACAATTATTCTTTTCTTGCATCGATCACATTTTACTGGCCAATTGCAGATTACAGCCAATTCCAATTTTGGTCTATATCAATTGTTTTGTATGAAATGTTGCTAAATATAGTAAGAATGTTGCCAATTTAGCAACAATGGGGTGACATACAGACATGTATGGTGGGCGGGTCTGTCAGTGAAACCTTTTATAACATTTAATCTTGACATGAAAATGTCATTTAGGAGAAATGTTTTTGGTTGTAGGTTACAAAAAGAGAGGAATACTGAAACACCGTAACTGTTTTTTTATGTAAGGGAAATCTTAAAAGAACAGAACAGTTTGTTCCAAAAGAGAAAAAAATACAACACCTTTTGGAAGGCACCCTAAATAATTATTTAAGTTGTTAGTAGAATGAAATGTCACAGCAGCTGCTAAAGGCAGAGTGCTTTATGAAATATGTCACATGAAAGTAAAGAACATAAATGTTTCACATGTTGTGTAACATTTTTAAGAGGCACATTTTGTCTGTTTGTGGTTTCCATGGATTCAAATGACTTTCACAAATCAAGATCGTGATATTTGTGGTGTACAAAAAACAAACAAAAAAAAACTGCTCTTTTTGTTTTTTAATTTGAAGGGAGGTAAATGACATTCCATTATTCTTTATAAGAACACCTAAAGGATTTTTCTTGCCAAATAATCTAACTCTAACCTTGATTGGCAGCTTTAGTTAAAAAAATATATGTTGCAGGCATCATAAAGCTGTTCAAAGTTTGACTCACCCATCTGTCGACTGAGATCAGCCTCATGATTTGGCCCAGTGATGCAGTGGCTGATGTGCTCTGACAGCGATGGTGTGTTTGTTTCACTGCTGAGCTGCCGCTCCATCATCAACATTCAGCTTGTCCCATGTGGGCTTTCACACGCCCTTCTAATTACGCAGCCCAGTTGGAGACTTTGATGGAGCTCTTCTCACCTAATTTCGCTGCTGCCACTTTGACCTGCCCAGTAGCTCTGAACATGGACACAGCTGAGCACGACATGCTTCCACCATCAGTCCGTTTGATAACCCTGAGTTTGTTTGCACACTGCAGGTCACAATATGTGAACAAAGAGTGTGCTGTAGGAAAGGATTTGACCTTGTTTTTTGTCATATTCACTTGTTTAAGATATTTCATCTTATTTCATAACCTTTGTACATTTAACTGATTAGTTATAAGCCATCCATTAGCTCTCCATGTTGCCCTACTGACAGGTTGCTAGCCCGTTAATAGGGGTTTCCAGGATGAACAATAGTTGTGTTTCCTTTGACCACATAATTGTGCAAATTTGAATTACCAAAATACATTTGCATAATGGAAACAAACTTTTTTGCTAAAACATTTTTGTGCAGGGATATTTTACAGTTGTATTGAAATTAGTGAAATTTCCAAAACTGCAAAGGAATTGCTGTTTCACATCACACAAGTCATGTGACCAACTGGATGTTACCAAAGGGAGAAAAGACAAAGAAGATGACAGGAAGTAGTTGGAGGATGATGGTGATTTTTTTAGCAACTTATTGCGTAAACAAACTTATTTAAGTGTGACTTTAATTTAGTTTCTTACTTAATGGAAACACCATAATTGCGAAATTGTGTTTTTCTTTTTTGACAGTAGAGGGATAGCGACAAATTTTTGCCCAATTTTTTAATAGAATTTCAATTAAGTTGCAAACAGGTTCTGATAAAGAGTACATGTGTTAGACAAGCATTTTGTTCATGGAAGAAGGGGACAGATTACTGTTTACAATGAGGCAAACACTAAGGATATGTTTGACCACATGCTAAAAGCCCATCGCCACCTGGTGGCACAACACAACAACTACAGCTGACCCAAGCTGCCATTGTGGCGCCGTCTAAACGTGGAACTTTTTCCCAATCGAGATCTGGAAATAGTGGCAGTTTCCAGGCAACAGTCTCGTGTAAACACAGCCTTACTTTGTGTTTACAGTCTTCAGCTTTAATACTAATTTCTGATCCTGTCCATTTTGGTCCCTGCTGATCACTATCTAATCGTCTCAGATGACCTTTTCATTGGCACCACCGTCTCCAAGTCGTACATAACACCTGGTTCTATTATCTGTTATCACTTTTATTTCTGCGGTTTCCTTGTTTTCCCCTCATTCACACATGAATTCTTTCATCTGGTGAGTTTCTTTACTTTCTCTGCAAGACATTCCACAACTTTTTCTGACTCTCTTCCATCTCCTCCCTTTTCATACAATAAATCACAAAGTCATCTACGTGGGTGATAGCGGGTTCTCACCTGACCTAATTGACCAGCCTGTCTCTGTCTCTATGTCTTCACATGGTTAAACCTTTACAGAATCTTAACAGATATGAGTCTTTTAATCAAATCAACAACTTGCAGTGAGTCACAGATTTCTGCCTCTGAACATTGTGTGCTCTGAGCTCAGACTCTTGGCATTCAGCCGGGGTCACAGTTTGTTCAGAGAGCTGCGGTGCCATTTCACTCCTTCATACGTGTCACTAATGCCGCTCTGCTGTCTGTTGCTGCTGCTGCTGCTGCTACTTTTTAAACATTAAACTGAATCCAAAAAAACATACCATGACATTTTGATAAGACTCCAATGGTCTTTTCAGAATTTGATGAGATTCATTTTCAATTTAAGCTCAGATGCTCTGTGAGGATTAAGTCGGTTCAGCTTCTCTAAACGACCACCTGTGAAGCGGCTTTGTTCATGTTTACACCTACAAGAACATTTCTGTTGCTAGGTGGATTTCTCTTATCTTTAGAAATCAACGCCCTGGCTTACATTGGGGTTTGGTTTGTACATTCATGTGACTCAGTGCTATTAAACCTCATTAAGAATGGGTTGGTTGGGTGATTTTTCAGGCTGCATTTATTTTTGAAGGTGAAGAAAATACTTTTATAAAAGCGCCTCTACAAAACCAATGTTGTCCTTTGTGTTGTGGTATCACACACAAAGGGTGGTCAAACACACAATGTTTGACCACTCTGGGTTGGTCAAACATTGAAAGTAGGACTCATGCTAAAGCTGTGGAGTTAGTATCATGCTATTCTGGTGTGATCTTCTAGGACCTGAATGCTAGCTGACAGATTCTGGAAAGAAAACTTTTTTTTTTTAGCTAAATATGGCACATTCAATACATTTCAGTACTTAAGAGGCAGAAGAGGCAAATTTATGAAACTGATCTGAATCAGGTATAATTTTGAACCACTACAACACTTTGCTTTCAATATGATCTTTGGTATGTCTGCAAACTAGCATCAGCTAGCTGATCGTGCTAATTTCCATAATTTATTCTAGATTTGTGTATTGATTACATCATTGAATGTGTCATTTCTTAATAGGAAATGCACTGAATCTGATTCTATGCATTTGTTGTAAACCCAATAAAATTAATTAAAACAACTAAATTGTTAGTTATTTTATATATACCCTTCAATTTTGTAGAATAAAATAATTATGTTTCACTATGAAATCCAAGTACATGATTAGTTAGCATAGTTAGTTCTGCTACATTTAGCTATTGGTTCAATAACATGTCTGGGTTCATTTATGCAAGATTAAACCAGACTGCAAAATTAATTTAGACCTAATATCAAATTTTAACACTTTTGAGCTATTTGCTAATCATTGGTGAAAAATATATGAACATTTTCTGACTGGTCAGATACAACTAAATTGTAGACATAATGTACTCTGCAGGTTTGAGCTGGATCTGTCTGGATTGTGGTTCTACGAACTGTTCATACTGGGCTGATTATGAAGGACCAGCATACTTTCAGAATTTTTTTCATAAAGAATTGGAAAACAATTTGCAGTCAGTAAACTGTTCCTGGGAATCTTGACTTCCTTGTTCACACAATGGGATTGAGAGTAAAGCATCTGAAATTCAGACACAAAGATCCAAATCTTCACCCCCGCTGTATGAGTTGGTACTGTCAGAGCCTCGATGGGACATGTTGCTTTCAGCAAAGACTTTCTGTTAGTTAAAAGTCAGCTTTCCCCGCCTCACAGCAACAAGTTCAGATCATTCATTTCCAGTCATCAGGTGTGTTTCCATCAGAGCTGGAGTCGATGAACAGCAACAACTACAGAACAATCATTTCATACGGGACTGAAAGCAGACAAATAAAGTTCTGATGGCACTCAAGAGCATAAAGAGTCTAAATTTAGGGTTTCAATAATTTGTAACTTGATTGTTTGCTCTTTGGAAACGGGCCATATCTCACAGCTGCAGCAGAATACAGAGCAGGTCCATTCTGTCTCCTGCATATTTTCCCTCTAACTGCATCTTTCAGATGGGAAGCAGCAAAAACATTTCTGCTACAAAAGCAAAAAAAAGAACTGAACTGAATATTAAAAATATGATCTTGTTTCTCTCAGTCTGAAAATAAAACTTTTCATGTGTTAAATATCACAATGGTGAGAATTTTGTTACATTTTTCAAATTCTAAAGTTTTCACATATTTCCTCAATATTGGATAGAAATATTGTCTAAACTTTCTGATCTGGATGAATCATCTGGCTTGTTTTCATCAAGCTGTTGAAAATAGTTTCCAGCAAACGGGCCATATCTAGTTTAACCTCTGTGACTGGGTCAAGATTCTAGTTCTCCTTTTCATGCACACCTTTTTAATTGACAAATGTTCAATGGAATTATGATCAGAGCTGAAAAAGAAATAAAACATTAATACACTTTGTAAGTAATTTGGTGTCATGCTGAAGGACATTATTCATTTGGAAGACAAATTTGTCCCTGATATCTTGAGATGTTGCTTCAATAAATCCACAGAATGTTATTTCCTCATGCTGCCACCACCTTAACGTCCCACTTGGGTTAATGTTCCCAACTTTTTCAGCTTCACTTTTTTCTTTCATATGTAATGATGCTCTTTATGTCCCAGCACTTCAACCTTTGTCTCATTTTTCGTAATAGTTGCTTCTTTTTTCCCAGCGTTCCTGATTCTGACAGTGTTTAGGATGTAGCTGTGAAATGCTTCCAGTGTTTCTCTTCTAGCTCAGTTGCTGTAGTCGTGACATCATAATCTCTGTATTCCCAATTTGTTTCAATTCATAGTCATTTTAATGGGTGCAAACTTCTGACATTCTGAAAAAATTACTTCTTTCCTAAGAAAGAAGTAATTTTTCTAACTGACCTGAAGCAGAAAAAGTTTAGCCTGATTTAATGTCAGTCAGAAAGAAGCAGACTTATCTGTGAAATGACTCCCCACCTCCCTATTTGGCTCAACAATTGTATAATTTTTTTACAGAATTGTCTGTAATTTCCAATGAATGTGAAAAGTTTGATGACCCAGACATGTTACTCCTCTGCTCCATTTAGAGCCTGAAATCAATCCATTGGCTGCCCAGCCCGGCGCTTTTTAAACCTCAGAGCTCTGTGGACTTTATCAGACTGACTTACATTAAGCTCTGGCCTGTGAAAGCAGCATTTGTACAGATAGAGCAGGGAGGGTTTAATGCTGTAGGCCAGAGCGGTGAGTGGTGCTGCTCAGTTGGGTTGTCATTGACAGACTGCTGAAAACTTCTTTACTGCCATGATGAAAAGAAAACGCACCCTCCT